CACCGCAGCCCACCATGCTCCCCTCGCGTCCTGAAACAGTTCCCCGTGACCGATGTTCTGGATGTACTCACCCTTCCCATCCGCCGTCATGATCGGGTTCCCTTCGAAGCTTTCGTACGGTCCCCATATGTCTCTTGATCTCGCGATGGAAAGCATGTGGTGCTCAAAAGTCCCGCCTTCGGCTACCAGGAGGTAATACCACCCATCGACTTTATACACATGCGGTCCCTCGGTGTCGTATCTCGCGTGCCCGCCCCAAATCTCTCGTTGCTCAGAAAGCTGTTTCCCGGTGAGAACATCAACTTCAACTTGCTTGATCGTACAACTCGGCTGCTTCGAGCGGTCCATGACGAAGCAGCCCTGGAAGTACACGCGACCGTCGTCATCGAAGAACAGACTTGGATCGATGCCGTGGAAGTCGACTGGGATGGGATCACTCCACTCTCCGCTCCAGATGTCAGAGGTATGAATGATGAAGTTTTCTAGGTCGGAGGATCCGTTTGAGGAGCCGCAGTTGGTGCAGACGATGTAGAATCTCCCGCGGTGGTGACGGATGGTGGCGGCGAAGAGGCCGCCTGTTGCGATCATTGTGTGGCCGGTGTCAAGGGTGAAGGAGTTTGTGCCTGCGTTGGCGAGAGTGAGTTGCTCTGGGCGGTTGATTGCGTTGCCTGACGCAGCGAGTTAGCCATGGATTGTTCTATTTCATGCGGTGAATCAATAATATACTTATATGCTTCCAGCTTTGTAAGTCACGGGAAGCGTAGATGGGTAGGCCGGGGAAGATGTGGAAGGATGAGGTGACGAGGTAGAAGATCCCATCGACCATGACGACCGAGGGGTCTGGAGCAAAGCCCGGAATGATGGGGTTCTGAAACTCTGTCATGTTTGCCATCTTCAGTTACTACGCGAGCTTCAGATGGTTCCGATAGCATTTTGACTGCTTGTGATCACGTCTCGTGGGTTGCTCGTCACTTATAAGGCCGCCGAACATGACGGGGCATTGTCTCCGTCCCCCGCACCGGAACCCGGAGTTGGTCCCGTTGAGGCCCACTTGGACATTTGACAATTCCCCGCGGAGAATTAGGCATGTTGGGCAATCCTCCGACTGATGTCGGTCTAGAGAAGCTTCCCAGGCCAGGGTTTATCTAGTCTCTCCAGAATTTCCTTTCGCCGAATTGCCATCTTGAGAAATCGTGCTTTGATGACGAACCAACAGCGAACAGCTTACTTCTGAGCACTAGTTCCTAACATAGTAAGCCTTGAGGGCGGTTCCGCTATGTAGTATGTGACCAAAGGAGTCTCAAATCCTTTGCCCACTTTAGAATCGAAAAGCTTAGAGGACAGGGCACTTGACCGTCAAAGTCGTTCATTACGATTAGATTGTTTAGCTGAAATGCTTGAACAAAACCCTCTCTCAAGCGTGTTCCGTCGCCTATGCCATGACACGGTAAACTTGATACTCATCACCAACGCTCACCGGCAGAACGTTAAAGGTAGCATAAGAGTCGATACCTTCAGGCTCAAGAGTCACAAACGCGTGCGCCGCATTCTTCTGCCTAGTACTGACCCAGAACCCGCCAGCCGGGATCCGAACCTCCTTGACCACGGTCTCCGTCGTCACAGTCGTGCGAGCAATTCCCTCATACTTTGTCCGCGCTACTTCGGCACTCGTGATGTTGAATGCCTCAACCTCGCCTTGGAAATCAGATTGTAACGTCTGTACTTCCACGCCAGTAATTCGCAGACGCTCAGCCACATCAGCCCACGCGCGTGAAAAGACATAGGCCTCTGGTCTCGCACGGGTGAGGTTTGTTACCACGGGTGTGGTGTTGAGGAACTGTACAGGAATATCAACGAGGTCTCCCGTCGTCGCTTCGATGAACTGCCAAGTGATGTTGGTCGGCCGAGCAGACTCCGTAACAATGATGTCGTCGGTGCTGGCGATGAACTTTGCGCGCGCGTTTTCCACTGTCGAGAGTACTTCTTCGGCCCTATCAGCAGCCGTCTGAACGATTGTCTCGACCATCGTCAGGCCCGTTGCGACGCGGCGCTGCCAGTGCTGGTCTGCTAGTCCGATGCCGCGTGTCTCGGTCAGGAACATGATGGCTTGGGTCAGTGCAACGGCACTATCTCCGATTTTGGCGTCACCGGTGGTTTCTTCCAGGACGAGATTGTCTGTGCCCGAGGGACCGACGATATAAGGGCCCCATCGGAGACCTCGCCTCTCCATAGCTGCGGCAATGTTGTTCGCGAAGACGGCTTCTGATATGTTCCGGATATCGGGATGGATGTTGGCGTTCTTCATGGCGGAGAACTGGCCGTCTTGGGCATCTACCCATTGCTCGTTGGTCCCAAAGGGTGTAGTAGGGCTATACTCGTGACAATCTACACCAACATGAGGCGCGAAGCTCACCATCAGCTGCTTGATGTCCCGAGTCTGCTGGCGCGCAAGTTTCGTGTGGTCGCGGTTCGGGTCGAAGCTGGTCGCAAAGTATCGTTGGAAGTACGCCACACCGTCCGGATTGTATCTCGGGAGCATCATGATGTCGACTTTCCCAAGGATTGAAGCCGCCCAGGTGGCATTGGCGTCGAACCTGCCAAGGAGGGCGAGCAGGGCCTGGTCACCAGCTGGTTCGTTTCCGTGGACGCCGCCCTGCATCCAGATGCGTACTTTTGAAGGTGCGCTAGCATTGCCGTAGGTGTTCTGGCTGGTATCCGTCGGGACGCCTTTTGAGGTAGACAGGTAGACGTAAGGAATCGAGCGGCCTTCTTCCGACTTGAAGTCGGGGCTGTGGTAGGTCATCCACTCATTGCGCGCTGCGAGAGTTTGGAGGAAGTAGTCTGCCGATCATAAGTCATTAGAGTCGGGCCGCAGAGTTAAGCATCTCAATTCAATTCGACTCACCGAGAGTGGCCTGGTCTGTCGGGCCGCTCGTGCCATTAGCAAAGGTGGCCGGGACGCCGTCCGGGATGGCGAAAGCGGGCGAGCGCAGGTCAACATCTTCAACTTCTGGGAAGTTCGCCGCTACTACTTCGCTATCCTGGATTACCTCAACCTGGTTGCTAGCATACGTAAGCTGAGCAGCAGCAAGGCCTGCGCGAAGCAGGGCGAAAGCCGCAATCTCTGGAACGTGCATTGTCAAGCACGGAGTTGGTTCCGGAGTTTTCAGGGTTTTTTCGAGGTTGAAGGCGCAAGACGATCAGGACCAACGGGCAGTACACAATGCGACCATGTCTACTATTTTATTGGTCCTCACCGGCGCCCTTCGGCCTTCAGCCGACGCCGATAGTGTCGCCAAGGCCTCATTTACCCTGCCCCAATGCCAGAGACGTCATGATATCTCCTCTGGCGGTACGATGATCACGGTACTGGTCCCCGGACTATGCAGAAATAGGAATGTGTTTATCTTCGATGTGGAGGAGGCCCCTCAAAGTGTGGGGTGGAAAAGTCTTGGAACAACCTCCGGAGCTTCCAGCGATGTCGCTCGCCAAGAGGTGTTATCTTGCCAAGACCCCAAAGGACCATGCCGTCGGGCCAAGGAGCAATCGAGCAATCAAACGCCATGTTGCTTAGCATCTTTACTCATCGAGTTACTTTCGTGGACTACTCACTTTCGGCCGTTTCATCGGCGAAGCCTTGGTTTTCGACTCGCAAGTGTCAACCCGACAACATCATAATAATGCTCAAAGTCAGTAACAATATAACTTTGCTGTGCCTAGTCCAAAATATGACAACACCATGTCTTCACGAAGCTTTCGGCAAGACCACGAAAGTGCAATTCAAGTTTCAATACTTCTTCTAAACGCGCAAATCTGATTCTGCCACAAAGGTCGGGCTCACCCAATGTAAGCAGCATTAACCTCACTTATATCTCGTGACATATTACTTGTAGGCCCATACGCTGGCAATACGACTTGGGAAATTCACTCCCCCTAATCAATAGCCACGAATTCAGATCGGACAATAAGACATCCCATGAACCTAGCCTAACAGAAGGCGACATGAAGCCTAGTTAACTTAAGGGCCCCTTAATGTGGCAGATGAGAACAAAGGTAGAAGAAGATAGTTTCCTGGAGAAAAAGATTGTCGCAGCTCATCCTTTTGATCGATTGCTGGTGGGCTGTAGAGCTCATCAAAAAAGCCAAGGTAGTTAAGGTAGTAGCTAATAAAATGCGGTTATCGAAAGAGACAGTCTCGACCAAGTACCAAAAAGATGAACGAAAGATAGGGTGTAATCTATTGAGATGAAGGCTCTGTTATGGTTTATCAAAAGTGTTGGTATGTTGGGGTTTATTGCGGTTGCAATTGACGGCGGTGAGGTTGCGGTGTGTTTGACGTTGATACAAGGCTGGGCATAGAAGAATGTGGTCTTCCACATAGTTGAACTTTACAAGTAAAGAGATTCAGGCTTCCAAGACACCTCAAGTGCAGTTGTGTCAGTGGTATCTCGACAGTTAATTGGCTCAGTAACTCAGCTTGCATCATACACAGCACTTCTGTCTCGGAATTTGACGAATCATAAACGAGTGGCGTTTCGCATCGCCCCCTTATCAGACAATCCATTTCAGGCAAGCGGTCTCTTCTGAGAGCACCAGGTTGTCAACGTTTGCCTATCTGTGCCACTGATTGTGCCGTGCAGTAAGCTGCATGTGTGTTATGAACAGGTGGTAGGACATGATGGATGGCTGTCACCTGCCAACCAGCCGTCACGCGATGGTGCGAGTGTTTAGCTTGGCTGCCTCTTGCTGACCTGCGTACCTCCCTTACCTCGTTCTTCCAACGTCCTTCATCCCCGGAGCCTCGTCAGCTCCCCTCTTGCAATCATCTCTCATCAATTTGTCATGTCAACCTCGTTGTCGCCATGCGCGTCCCATCGCACGGCCTCCATACCGCATCTCATCCTTTGACGTTTCTGAACCTGGTTTCTCTAAAGTGATTAGAAACGGCGAGTTACGATGCGTTTCGCCGCGACATCTACAAACAACTACGCGATAAGTTAATGAAAGGCGACAGCAACAACAAACAATTTGCTACCACAGATACCGCGAAAGAGGTGCTCACCCCAAGAAATCTGGAAGACCTTTTCGAGACTCTTATCACTAGCTGTACGGAGAAGTCAAAGTTTGGGATCGACAAGCATGAATTTTCCAAGCTGGTGCAACACAGACACCTCCACGACTTCCTTGCAGTGCTGTTGTTCGCGATGTGCCCTGTGGAAGCGGCGCAATCTTTTACTAAGAAGCTTGTTTGTGGAACTACCTGGACAGACTACATGAGTCCGAGCAGCGCCACCACCCACACTTCTCGGCGAAGCCTTCTACCAGCAGATCGGGCTTTCCTCGAGGAAGTTTTTGGCTCCGATGATACAACCGTGGACTTATTCTACAAGAACCAAGCATGTTTCGCTACAGTCGTCATTCGCAGTGGACCTAAAGAGATTGGAACTGTTGTGAAGAGTCTAGACACTTGCCGGCTTCCATGGCTTGAGGAGAAGCACTTGGGATCTGGGTCCTACGGAGATGTTTACAAGGTCGTGGTCGCAAAAGGCCATTTCGTGGTCAAGGGATACGCAAATCCCGAACCAGAAGCGTTGGCACGCAAAGACTACAAGGTCAAGTCTGCCATCAACTTTAGGGAGGAGGCTGAGACTATGAGGAAAATTCTTCGAAGTACATCAAAGCACGACAACATTCTGGAGAGTATTGGCACTCTCGAGATTGGGACTAACCCATTGAGATTCAGTCTTTTTATGGAGCTTGCAATCGACAGCCTGGAGAACTATTTGATGGTCAGGGATCCCGGGCCGAAACTGGGCGCCGATGCCAGAATACGAAGCCTCAAATCTGCATGGGGTCTCGCCGACGGGCTACATTTTCTTCATACGCAAATGAAGACGCCCGACATGCAGAAGATGGTGTGTTATCATATGGACTTGAAACCCAGCAACATTCTGATATTCAAGGACACGCGCCAAGGAAGTCATGAAGAAGATTTGATTTGGAAAGTAAGCGATTTTGGGATGTCCAGAGTCAAGATGCCCCACAACCCAACTTCGTCAAATGTTGGAGAACGGGATATTGATTTCAATACAATGTTCAACAAAAACACTCATTCTGATACGATGTCCGGAACTCAAGGCCGTGTTGGTATGGGCACATACCTTCCTAGCGAGGCTCTTTCGCCTGAAAGAAGTATGAATCAAAAGAGCGATGTCTGGTCGCTTGGATGCATCATCAGCATTCTTTTTACGTATCTAGAAGAAGGCGCAGAAGGAATCCAACAATACCACGAATCGAGGCGCAAAGAAAACGGAAATTCGGAGGAGTTTTTCAAGAAGAGCATTGTTCTAGGCTATAGGGTTTGCCCAGCAGTGAAGCAATGCCACAGAAAGCTCATCGCCAAAGCCAACTCCCGCAATACTCTAGAAAAGAGGCCAGTGAGCTTCATGCTTGATTTCCTGGAGAACAGGGTCCTTCAGCCTGTCCAGAAGGATCGATGTGATGCCAAAATGGTAGCAGAACACTTGGCAGAGACGGTTGAGAGGTACAAGGGAACAGCAGTCCCAAAAGGATCGGCCGAGGAGCTGAAGTCGAAGCAGCGCTTGCTAGACAAGCTCATATCACTGCCAGAGTGAGTTCTTGCTCCTAATCGAATATCTTAGACGTCTCATTGCTAATTGAGAAAGGAGAATTAAAAGCACCACGAGTAAAGATGGTGTTGAGCAATGGATGTTGGGAATCTCGACGCCTGTTAGCCTCAGAGGCTGTAATATCTCTCTAGATGGTTCGATCATCTATTGGAGCGACTCCTGGCTATTTCTATTTACATCGGCGTCTACCGAAAATGTAGGAAAGAACGTTCTCAGCCCTATCGGAAGGTATAAACTTAAAGATGGCAATGGATTTTGGAAGGCTGCCGAAATATCGGGCCGTTACCTAATCGCGACTACGACGAGCAGAGAATCTAATGTCAGTAGTTTTGGTGATTCGAGATATCCTGCTTAGGTTAGCTGACTTGCATTGTTTAGTGTTTCATCTTTCGCATACAGGGCGGCCAAGCTGCGTCTGCCAGTTTGGAGGAACCCCCTAACATCCTTAATCTTTCGAACGTGGCCCACAAGCTCGCCCTCGTTGGATCTAGTAACATGCTCTTTTGGATCACAGAAGACAACAATGATAGCAGTCGGAGCATTCTATTCAGAGCTCGTGTCAGGCAACCATTGCTATTGAGCTCAGAGACGAGGTTAGTCAATATTTTAGTAGTTTTCGATGAAGCCATATTTATCAGTAACATACTCGTAGACATGAACCCGAAAATGAAGATGCATTTCTCGCAGATGAAAAAAGGGTTTCTCTCAAATGGCCCGTTTCTGAAATCCTTCATTTGTGTATGAAGAATCCATCAGAAGGGTACATTGTTATTCGTCCGAGAAATCAAAGTCACACGGTATCAATCAAGAGTGTTTCAATAACCCATTCTGGGGCTGGAAGTGTTGATCAGCCTAGATTTGGAAGCTTTACATTCAGGCCTGAGGTCAGCAGTGTTAGATTGACGGATACCATTATGGATGTTCGCTGACGACGTAGACAGGGACCCAGTGGTAACACCTCCAGTCTGTTCACGACAAGTGCCCACTTTCACAACAAGTCCGGCGTGGTCGTTATTGCTCACGAGAAGCAAATGTATGAGATTGGCTTCTCTGGGCCGGGAGATACTGCTAAGGATTCAGTGCCGAATATCATCGATAGGTATAGACTGCTCAAAATCATCGTCGACAGAACAGATGAGACCTTTATAGCCTTGGGTCGGCAGCCTGCAGACCATAGAATATCTCTGTTGCGTATTACGCGGACGGGTTTCCACGGTCAACCTTCTGTCCATAAGATTGTAGAACTCGGTGGACTATCGGATTCGGACGAAGCCATGTTGAAAGTGCTCGATAAGGAAGAAACTGGGGGAAAAGTTGTGCTTGTCACAGCTCTAGTTTCTCTCGAAAGGAGTGCTGTATATAAGATTTTGTTGCCACATTAATTCATGTCTCGCATGAGATCCTACCATCAAATCTTCAGCCGTTGTACGGATACTATCTCACAAATCACACACTGGCATGCAGCATCTTCTCCCCGAGCAGACCTCGTTTCCGACCTAAATGCTGGATTTGATGCTTCCCCCATGTATGTAATCGTTTGGCCGTTTCGGTAACTCGAGCATCCATATTTCCGCCAAGAAGCAAGCGGTAGACTGTGAATGTGATCGCTGTCAAAATGCCTGAGCTAAGGACGAAGATCCATATCATTGAGCTTCCAACAATTCGACCTGTGTCCGTGTCTAGATCGAAGAAGTTCATTCCAAAAAAGGTCTGTTCACCACACGTCAACGAGGTTCATAGAATACTGGCACTTCCTCCAGTATTTTCACTTACGGCGATGAAAGAAGGCGGCAGGTATAACAACGTGAGAGTTGTGATAAATACGGCCGACCTGTTGAGCGACAGCATGTTATTGTTTTGAGCTCTGGACTCTAGCTGTTCGCGGAACGATAGCGCATTTGCCAAAAGTTGTGCAGTGGTTCTGGAACGTTGATGCAGATACGTCGCCGTCCTGTGGTTGGCGGCGCACACGCGCTGGCCGTGCTGGAATCGACGCTTCAATATCTGAACTTGTTTTTCGCAAGCCATGCTCAGATCTCTCAGATCAGCACAGATGGTAATGAGGCAATCGATTACATCCTGTGATGCAGTGAGAATGATCGAAGTCTGCAGGAACCGATTCTCAAGGTCAGCAAGGTCGGTGAGATGGCTGTATTGTGATTCGGTAAGCTCGTCAATGAAGGTATGAGCCGCAGTGTCTGCCTGACAAAGAGTGAATTTCAATACTCTTCCGTAGTTTGAAGCCTCGGCTCTTAACTCACCATTGGAAGAAACTTGCGCTCTAGACTCGCATTATAAGATCTCCAGTTTGGCAAGCAGAGCTCTTGAAACATTATGTGCAGCCAGAATGGATTATTTTCGATGGTTTGGTAACAGTTGAAAAGGTCATGCTCTGCCTGCTTCTTCAATTTCGAATCGGGCGACGGGCTCAGGAGGATATATGTGTTCTGGGATTTCGTGGCATCTAACTTGTGATAAATGCCGCTTTGTCGCATCACCCAGTCATTTTGTATCGGTTTTAACTCCGGATATCGCATGGTGTAGGATATTACTGGGATGGGTTAGGATTGAACTTTCTTCTGAGACTCTCTCTAAGTAAAGCATCTTACCAGTCAATGAACCATCTGTACACTCTGTCAACGGGATGCAGAACGTCTCTTCGATCTCTCGAACCCGCCGATAGAAACTAGTCGTCAAATCCAAAACTAGGGTGCCTAGTCCGCATGCTTCAGTTAGGGACTCTAGCATCGAGGCTGTGATCTCAAGGGGGTCCCATGAGTGTCCCTGGCAAATGGATCTGGGAGTTATCAGTATCAAGGCAGCAAGAAAGCTAGGAAATAAATTGTGCAAACATGTAACGATCTCTGAAATTGTCGCTCTCCGGGTTCTTGAAGTACTCCTGGATATCCTTCGCGTTTGAGAACCGCCGGTGCGTCACCTCAACATCATTTGTGCCAGAATTTGAATCTGCTCTCATCACATCTATGAGTGTCACTGGTTCTGCGACCTCATCCACGTAGCACTCCAGAAACGGTACCATCCTGAATACTGTGAATAGGTCACGAAATGTCACAGACGGAAATTCATAAGTGAAGGTTTTGAGTCATATCAAAAGATGGAAGAGGATATGTTTGTTCACATTATTAAGGCAATGCGCCTGTGACACCGCACGCTGACTACCTACTACCCCTCTTTCAGCATCCGGTCGGAAGGCTGAGCGTAGGGAGAATCTGCCTCGAGAGCCCACCTCCGCCATGCGTACCTCCGCCTCAGATCTTCGACAGACTCGGATTCATTATCCATAATCCACGTCAACAATCTCTTAGCGTCTCCTAGTGATCTTGCTACATGTATTCTAGGTTAGCTACTGCATTTGAATTTTCTCAGAATAAGCAGCGGTCTGGCAATTCTGTACCTCAGCTCCGACTATCAGGCTCCAATCAGCAGTGCAGATAAATCTCAACGGAATGAACGGCTTACGTCAGTAAGTTCTCTCGAGGCTGTATAGCACCATTTGTCGCCTCGATGCTACATGTAAATGTGAACGAGTGCGATAAGTGGCATTACCAAGGTGGCCTACTTGTATTTGATAATCATTCTGCAAGGGGAAAAGCTCTTCCAGAAGTCTTCTAAGATCGTCTTCTTTTATGTATCGATTCGGAGCAAACCAAAGTTGCGCCATAGTTGACTCAAGGAGAATACCTGCAACAGTCTGATGCCTCGCCAGTCTCGGGCAAAAGGGAGCTCGATGGTTTTCATTACCTCTAATATTGAGTGGTACTTGATAAGTCGTGAAAGGCGCATGGAAAGCATCGATAAATATTCACCTGCCTCTTTAGGAACGTGAAGTTCTAGGCATGGTCCATGGAGGGAGTGAGGCAAAGACGTTGAGGTTATTGGTTGCCTTGGAACCCATCCAACACTTGAATGCAGCACCAAAGTACGCTGCCGTGGCTGCCCTTCGTGTTGCGGGCGGCGGAAGATGGCTCACTGCCGGTTACGTCGCATAGATAGCATGTTGGTCTTGGCCAAATGCTCCGCCTTAATTCCGTAACTGGTCCAATCTAACGGGAGCCCCTTTTGTTCAAGGGACTGTACAGATTGTGTTGTTTTCTCGGCGTTAATTGACAGCCTGATTGTGTCTCCCATACGCACTGTGGCTTCTCATTTCCATGTATTACCTACCTCACTATTCATAATGCGGACCGTTCGCCATCACATTGCCTGCAGGAGCCAGACCCCGCGTCCATCTGACTCACATAACACCTGTTTAATTGCGAATGACCAAAGTGATGTGAGTTCATGGGCTCTCTGAGAGACCGTTCCCTAGCACACGTACGTACACCATGAATGGTTCGCCTGAATGGGCGGCAGGTTCGGTGAACGATGCAGACGCCTGATGCTGATGAAACAATTACATTCGCAAGCCACCTTGCTCATCCGATGAGAAAAGTGCAGGAAAAAGCAATGTGCGGCCTATCCTAGGGCAGAAGCCTATCCAACCCCGTTGGCATATTGCTGTCTTGCATATCAAAGCAGGGCTTGTGGCTGTGGTGCCAACACGCGTGGCAAAGCCAGGTAACACAAGCAGCCAGCCTTTTTCAGTAGTCATGAGCCAAGGCTCCAGGCAGGCAATGCGACAAACATGCCAATCCCCTATTTCTTCCTCTTGTCCTTGACATCTATGGACACGTGCCAGAGTGTCCCTTGCCGACACACGTTTGCTTTGAGATTCCAAGCTCGAAGCTTCATTCAGGAGCTGACACGTGCTGGTGATTTCATTCTATTCGAATGAGTTCGTTGCATGCGGTAATCCATCTATCTGATTTCTGATTTGACCGCTGCAAAGGAAGCCCAGGACCACGCTCCATCCGAAAGCTTTTCTGTTTCCAAGCTAGCCACCGTTGTCGATACCCATCCGGCTACGGAGCGCCATGCGGCCCCCTTCGCCTCCAGACTCAGCCAGAGTCGGAGGAACCCCAACAGATGGCAGCGTCTCTCCATTGCCTACGGCGGAGGACCCTTCAAACAGTGCTCTCGTTGAAGGTACTGAAGAAGTTGACGTGCACATCACGGTGAGATCAGAGCCGGCCAAGACCGTAAGACGAGAATTGCACGGCATACAACTATTCGTATGATTCTCGAACACCCCTTCCAGCACATCTTTGAGTAAGAAACCCTGACTGATGTCGGAGCAGATGATCACGATTAATGGAACTCTCGGTACTGGATTGTATGGCAGAACAGGTCAGATTCTCGAGCTCGGAGGCCCAGTCGCGGTAATCCTGTCCTTTTTCCTCGTTGGGTCACTAGCATGGGCAGTCATGCAGTGCATCACTGAGCTACTATGCATCTGGCCCATCCCGGGTGCGCTGTCAGTCTATGTCGCCGAGTTTGTGGACAATGAACTCGGTATAGCTGTCGGTGTCGCTTACTGGTAAGCATCCGCGTTTTTTGATGGCCGAAATCACATCCGCTGCACGTTTCACACATCAAGATTGACTGCTCACCAGGTTCACATACTCTGTTGGATTTGCCGCTCTGATTGCATCTTCAGCCTCATACATCAACTTTTGGTCAGCCAACATCAAGGGCTTTCTCGTAGGCGTTGTTTATGTGACAGTTCCTATCATGCTGGTTTGCTTCAATACTTTAGACATCAAGGTAGGGTACAATCGACCCATAGTCTCTGCCTTCAGGCTCTCAATACAATTGCTGATCAGGTTATTGCCAGAAATACGGTATGCTGGAAGTCATCACTGGTGGTATTAAGATAAGTTTCCTGTTTACAATCATCGTTATATCGATTGCCATCCATGCGAAAAGTAAGTAAAGCCGACCCAGACCACACGGATTACAGCTGCACGTTCCTTTCGTATCGTAGGGCCAAGAGGGTTTGAGCTAACAATCAGTAGCTGGGATATCACCGGAAGCCAAGAAAGGTACGCGGGTCGACTGTAATTCGGCACCAAAACTGACTGTCGTTGATAGGTTGGGAAACACCTCAAGCTCATGATGAACTAGCAGCGAAAGACTGGGGTACAGCCTTGATGTAAGCCAATATACTGCGATATTGACACTTTCAAATTGTGTTGTACTGATATTAGCCAGGATGTCAACTTCGATCGCAGCTTTTGCTTACGTCGGCGTTGAGATTGTCGCAGCTTCTGCCCTAGAAGCACATTGGTCCAAGCCTCGTCGTCAACGCCTGCGAGAAAAAGACAAGCTCCAGCGTAGACCCTCATACCATGAACAGGTTCAGAACTCCATTGCCAACACGCTCAAATTCACCGCAGTATGGGTCACTGTGCTAGTCACGGTAGCGTACGTTGTCAGCGGGCTACTAGTCACTCTAGGGTTTGAGCGAGACAACTGCGAGTTAACCAGATTGAGCTGGGTTCACAACGCATGCAAAGATCAAGATTCAGGTCAGAATAAAGAGAGAAAGTCTTCGTCTCCATTCGTCTTGATGGCTCAAAGGTCAGGCATCTATGGACTCGATCACGCGGTCAATGCTGCTTTAGTCTTTACAGCCATCACTTGCGCAAACACCAACCTCTATGTGGCTTCCAGGACTTTGTTCGGAATTACAAGCAGCCTTGATGGTGGATACGATCAGCGGATTATAGTTAGATGCTTGGCTTGGCTAGGCCAAACTAACAAGAGCCAAGTTCCGATGCGAGCTATGGTCGTCTCTGCACTGGCATTCTGCTGGGTACCATTCTTGCAGGAAGGTGGCGGGTTCAACACAGACACCACAATTGGCAAGGTTTGTGCTATCTAAATAGGACATCATCTCGACAAAACTAACGCCTCGCCTGCTCATCTAGTTCATCGAAATATTGGCTCAGATGGGATCCGTTGGCGTTGCCATCGTCTGGGCTTGTCAATCATTCGCCTTTATTCGATTTTACCGATGGTAAGCAGCGTCTCAACGCAATGGACGTTCAATTTCTTACATTTTACAGTATCCAAAGGCATCAGAAGGCCATAGAAGCTCGTAAAATACCTCTTGTTCAGCGGTGGAACAAAGGGCCAGGAGATGATTATCCATATCGCAGTCACGGCCAACCTCTCCTAGGCTACATTGCACTTGCTGGCTGCATGGTCATCTTAGGCGTGTCAAACGGGGCTGCCTTGTGGACGAAGTTCCACTGGTTCCCATTCCTATCATCCTATTTAATCGTGAGGCATTACCATCACACTTCCTCTACATGTATCATGTCGTCTGCTTCCAACTAATACTCCTTAGGTCATCGTATTCATACTCCTCTGGGTCGCACTGAAGTTATTCAGAAACGCAAGATGGAAGCTGGCGGATCTCTCCAGTGAAGACAAGGCTATCAAAGTCATTGAGAATCTACACCAGCTTCGGGCAAGAACTTTTTGAAGTGTTGTGATGGACATCTCTCGACATATCTGCCAATAGAACACTAAATCTGCATATGATGGGGCGGGGTTATAGCCAGAAGTGCAGACATTTCTTTACAGAAGCCTCCCCCAATAGTAAGAATTGGAAGCTAAGAAACAACTGGGCGCAACGGCGGTGACGCTTATTACCCGAGTTCAGAGCAGAATAGAGACTTGAAAAGGGCGTGAGTGACTTTTTTCATTTGTTTAAAAGAGCGAAGCTAGGGTAAAATTCTAAAATACGTGTCATTTGAGGAGTTTAGTAAGATTGAATGGAAAATTCGTTCCCTGTCAAGACATGCATCATCGCTCAACACGTTGATAATCGTTTAATCCAAGGCTCGGAAGCGGACAATTGCAGTAATTAAGGTAGTTGCTTACTATGAATTTTCAGCTCTTCTATTTTACATCCATCTTCAACTCCAGTCCGCTTTCAGATTGCTTCAAGGCGCGCCCAGTCTGTTTTACGACTTCTGATACGTATGACGAGGTCCAAGAGAGCTCAAAATTCTCAGCTCCCGCGGTGCAATGTAAAACGGTTCCGTAGCGTCAAAGTAGTCATTATAATAGTCCTTCGTCATTTGGTGCTGCGGATTCATCACACCCATCAGCCAAAGGCCATACACGGGAAGCCATTCAAACTAACCTTCATTATCCAGTCTACTGGCTCTGACCTAGAAGAACATCAGAAAACACTCTCCAACGTCATTCATGAGCTTGGGCGAAGCATACCATTTCTCAATCCACGTAATCGTACCAGGAGAGTCATGAACTTGATACATCTCGAAATACATCAGCTCGGATTCTTTCTTCATCTTCTCAATTGTCGGCTCCGCAGCCCGCAGAAATCTCGAGACATCCTGCGGCGCAACGTGAACAGTGACATGAAAGACCGTTGACATGGCTGCTTTGTTCTGCTTGAGTGCTGAAGAACGATGGTAGTCGGACGAAACCCTGATGCGCTGATGTCAAAGCTGCGAAGCTCTGATCCCGGGGAGCTCGGCCTTTAAGTAGTCCGCAATATTAGTCGCTCCGACAATCCGAGGCCATGGCTGACGGTAGCTCAGAGGATGAAACGTCTGATGTCTGACCAGACGTGTAGACAGCTTAGTCAGTACGCAACGACTTGTTATGCGTTGTACTAATTCGAACCCAATTTGTGATGTCATCTTAGATGCCTAAGTCTCTGCTTCGACGTGGGCAATCCTTGTCTCGTCTTCTTAATGACCGTCTTCGAATACTGAGCCAGCTAGGAGTTGATCTAATCCATCGAATAGTTTGCATAATAATGCAATTCTGCGGTAGGTGTGTTGAGAAACACATGATCATGGCCTTCTTTAAATTGACCGAAAGGGCAAGAAGGCCCGCGATGGCACAACTGTGCCCTCGATAAGTTCAGGTTGAACGAATACATGTTGCTAAATGGCCTTACTCAGAACATTGCAAAAGCATCGCTAACGGCCCATCAATAACTAAAACCTGTCAATAAAGCCTTTAGTACTCTAGAAGAACCGCTCGTATTGGGCATGTCGCCATGGACCTTGAAATACCAGGCAAGGCCGTTAGGTGCAGAACCCAAGCTTCTCAGGACAGTTCCGGCTACCTAACAGTTCAAAAGAACAGAAGGTAGAGTCATGAAATACATGCCAAAAAGTTCAAGCAATGGTGTCACCGCCTTGTCGTATAAGTATATCGGAACGGGATGCATCAGCGCAGGCGCAACGATCAACAGCGTGCTAGGAACACAGAATGAAACAACATACGCTTGAAGACTCGTGCAATCGGCCTAAGCAGAAGAAACGGTGTTCTCATGCTATTGTTAAGGTAAAGGTATGGAAGACCGAACAGGCTTTGAACCCAATTTGAACAGAAGTACCTTGTGTTGCTTACATGTATGGACACCAAGGCAGGCCCCGACGTAACCTGGCTGGCTACCTATGAGCATCAAAATTATCCTATAAATTTTCGGTACTTTCTTTCCTCTCCGACGTTTAAACATGGAGTTGCCATCAACGACCTCACTTAAGAGACTTGCCATCCATCACCGACCCACCCTGTGTGGCCTCCTCTTACATCTTCCTGCGATCACCGATCAAATCCACCTGTCATCCATTGGATTCACTGCAGATCATATCATTTCAATCCGGTGGTACGGTACAATTTATTCGAAATCTTACCACAAGCCAGCACTTATCAATTCTACCTTAGGTCAAGATGATGCCAATCTCCTTCATGATGGCCATCCTTGCTGGAATCACGTTGTCCGTGGCCACTGACGTCCCAATACGAGAGCAAGACATATTTCCTTGCAATTGTATTTTTATTGTCAATAAATGGAATCCTGTTCATGCAGATCACGTTGCTAGCTACGAGTGCTGTTATCTTGCGGGGGGCCATTGGAACGGCACAACATGTCCCCTGAATTATCGGAACCCTCGAGAATTAAGACAATTTTCGAAATGCTGCGAAAAGAATGGGGGATTTGGATGTATCTAGAAATATATGTAGCACCTGTGGCCCAGCTGATCTACGGGCCGAGGAGACATCGAATCTGACAGCGACGCCTTTTTCTCGCATATCGCGAACATTCAAGATCCCACCCCCGATGATCTGCCCTCTGATGGCGAGTAGCTGGCTTTTTCTCTGCTATCATCACTGACTTTCTGTCGGGTCTGTCGCACTTCAGCTAGCCACGCAAACATGAAAACTGCTGCGCTCAACAATAACATGGCACAAGCAGCAACTAAAGTCCAAGAACAAGCCCCGTATTTCGTTGAGATATCGTGCAAGTTTCGTACATTCGTAGCCAACCGCAAATCTGTACTTCTCGGCAACTCTTTTCTTATTTCCTCGAACAGTGAGAAAATGCAGCCAAGCGCCGATATGGCGAATATGAATGATAAAATCGCAAGAATCGCGCTGGCCAAGGTTGTGAGACGGTTGAGTTTGACAAAGCTGGCAAGTGCAGAAAGAAGACCCAGTCCAGATGTAGCAGCGGCAACAGCAGGCAATGGGAATCCTAGTGTCAAGTCGCGCATTCCTCTGCTTTCTATCGAGGAGGGAAACCCGATGATCATGGGACGGATAATGGCGGCTGGATCATAGCCCGCCGAGCCTCCGACTCTAAGACATCCCTGTGGGTATCTTGGCCTAGATAGAACATGATGTGTGAGTACTGCGATCTTCTCTCAGATAGTTCGTATAAATCTTATCATACTGAACTATTACAAGGTGGGGTGTCACGCTCGTGACTTACCATGTGGCAGCCGTTGCTTGACACCGCCCCCAAAGCCCGAAGTCAAGAACAATAGATGGTCCAATTGACCCACCTGCTCCACGTCTGGTCGCCTCTAATGTGAAGATTGACAAACTTGTGTTGGGGACAGATATGCAAGTGGCAAGAAGAAGCCCGAAGGAAGCAACGAGCAAAGCTGCACCGACGGCTGCAAATAGCCGAGGGGACGGCATTGTGTCTAATGTTGGCGAATTGATATCGGTTGAGTGAGTTGAAAACGCTTGGAAAGTCGTGTTATTTTCCGGAATAAACGATTTATCATTTGAAAATGGAAAGATGAAAATTGTTTGAGGGTTCCGGGACGCTAATATTATGCGAAGCTGATCTCAAGATCAGCACCTCAAATTGACACTACCCGCCCGGGCCTAACTACGTTCGGAGTTTTACTTGAGCAGAATCGACGACGTTGTCTCATTCTAGAAGAGCTTTACTCTAAAATCTGACTGCCAAGTTGAGTCTTCGGCTGTGTATAAGTCTCTGATGTCAATAGCCGCTGGGCGTGCCCTACTATCCAATCATTGTGAGACTAGATACGGTGCGGAATTGATCGCTGCGACTAGCAACGATCTAACGTAGCAAAACCATAGGCGCTATCCGTCATCCAAGCCTTTTGATCTTCAGAGGATCTGAGTGTGAGATCCATCAAGGTGGTCCTGCGACTTCATGTCATTGTCCCTCTTACCGTCATGATGCGCATTCGGGATTGGAATTTTGGGCTCTGCCATGCGCGCAAGGAGCCGCAACATGTATGCTGAGAGTCTTGAATCACCGCACACCTTGCTTCCTTGACCATACTTGGTTTTTCAAGTGGTCCTCAAGTCATTCGGCACCTATTGCTACGTTCAAGTCATTAACTTTCCGCCGTCCTTTTCCCGTATTACATGGGTCACCATCTCAAAGCCTTGCAGCGATAGCTTTCTCGCAAAAGGTGATTTTGAGAGTGGGCATATCAGACAAGAAGCCAAGTACTGCTGGGATTTAAGATGCGATGAAATTCCTGGACCCAATACAAGCCCTACTTGAATGTTGATTCGGCGGCAATATGTAAGGTTGTTGCGCGATATGAAGTTAGCTAGATCTAAGGTGTATCGTTGCCCTCAGAACTGCGAAGTTGATCCTTAACACGTTACCAAACGTCAGCCCAATACCGACACCCAGAACTTGGGTTAACTTCCTGCGGTGTTCCCCGTACTTCAGGTATGATAGCCCTGGGAACTTCGACTGCACGCATTTATCACGTGCTTTGAGTGCGAGTACTAGAAAGATGGTTCAGCCCCTCTGGTCTTTCCCAGATTAGATATACCCATCGGCAAATTCCCAGCTTTATGTGCTTGCTGATGTGCTCAGCTGAGTCGTCTTTCATCAATATCGTAACAAAATAAGTAGTGCACCCCCCTCCACTTTGTGTGACCCCTCACGGGATAGGCGAGGAATTAACATTCTCGTGACATGTTCTCCAGGGGTACGTTGCTAAACTTGGCAGGTCGCCTTCCGGTTCATCCGTTCCACCGAGACCGGGTAGCTTTCGGGGCTCATAACCTTCTTAGGCCACCTTCGAGCTTCTTCTCCGGAGTGGTCGGGTTCAGTAATAAGTAATTAAGGCCTTCATCTTTTCTTCGAAATAAGAATGCAACTAAAGAAGTACCCCGCACGACGTCCCCCACAATCGCCCGGTGACAGTTCCATTACGCCAAGTTGCCAAGCTAGGCCAAGCCAAATCTCCAGCTCTTTGGTTCGATTTCCCCAACTTCTCCCTGTTAATCCGTTCTTCAAAGTTAACACAGCCTTCAAAGGCCAAGAAAGAAGGAACTTTGGACGAAACGAAGCGTTTCTTGCGTCGTTTTTCCATCGTGAAAACTCGGAACAGCAATCTCAAGCCGCGCGCCACCCCTTTCCTCGCCATCATCTCGGCGAAAAGACCCTTTTCATCAATCTGCGAGTCAGTCCCGCTGCTCGCTTAGCACCCATGGCGATAGCGAAGGAAGGTGCTTTCAGCGCTCCCACAGCCTCTGGACCTTTGGGTAGAGGGGGCACCCCAGGGAATTCCCGTAAGTTTAATTGCTTGGCACGCGATCCACTTCCGAATCCATGGCATGAAGACTGCGTGCCTGAGCAGGTTGATTAAAGTTGCTTGGAGACCCTTGCTTCAAGCCTCCGAAGAAACGGCTTTTTGAGATGTCGTGACCTATCACGTAACCGCTTGAAGCACACCCTTTCGGGGCAAACCCGCGCGGATGGACGTGCAGAGGCGGACATGTTTGGATTTGGGCGAGCCCTTTAAGCTGTAGACGGACGGTGTTCCTTCCGATGGCAGTTGATCACTTAAAGACCCTTTTCCTTCGTTCTCTCAAATAACTACCGAGGCCGTTTGAGCTAGTTCATTTGATCGCCCTTGAAGAAACTACCTTATTTACACGTCAAAATGCAGCCTACGGAGATCCTCGCCATATTGGCGGGAACATACCAGCTTCTCAACACCTCAGCGTAAGTTGACTTCGAATGTGCTGGTTCGAACTACCGGGTTGATCAAGATCTAACACTTGACTTGTGTAGCACACGTGATGGAGTAGCTGTGCCAGACAGAACATACGGTTCCAACCCCGTCGGCATCCTCTCCTACAGCAAGTCCGGCTTCATGTCGGCAACGATCACATCAACAGACCCCGAAGACCGACCCGCGAACCTGACATTTCCCTTCGAAGATTCACAGTCAGACGCCGATTGGGCCCTTGTTGGCAAGCACAGCATCGGTTATGCCGGGCCGCTCAGAATCAGCGACGCATTCCCCGCGAACGCAACCTTTGGCCAAGTCATCCACGGACCCTTGACCGTCGCCAACGTCCCATCTATGGCCGGAGGCAGCCAAGCGCGCAACTACACACTCTATGAGAACGGAAAGATTCTTCGCATCTCATCACAACGGGATGGCGGGAATCGGGGAGAGCTTTGGTGGAAGAGATTAGACTAGGCAACCGGATGAACGCAAGCGCTAGGAAAGCAATTTGAAAGCGGCTGTTGTGTCAGGTATCTAGCTTTGGATATCACTTTCAACATACACATGCCATTCAAATTACGATGATCGCCAACGACTTGTACGGATTTTCCTTTTCTGAAACCGCTGATGATTCCCAGCGTGTGGCTTGATGGGCGCAAACTGCCGGGTCGATACCTCCCCTTGGCGTACAGTACTTTGGATCCTGTTGCGCTTAATACCTAGTAATTTGCGCCTGTGTTAAGAATTTTTACATCTTGTGTTAGCTCACGTGGTTCGCTCAAAGCACTGGGCGGCTCACCTGGGGCACTGCATTTGTATGAGCCCCAATGAGCATCTGCCATTGGCCTCATAAGAAGTCGCAATCACACGAAGCGCGAAAGTGGCGGTGGCTGGGGGCGTAGCAATGCCCAGTTCGAGCCACATGCTTACATCTGCCAGCCTGAATAACTACCCAACAAACCCCACCTCTCCATCCAGCTCAGAAACATTTCACATCGGCACTTGAATCATCAAACCTGTTGCTACAATCATCGCCATGGCCGAACTAGCGGCGCTTGGTGTCGCAGCCAACATTGTCCAATTTCTCGAGCTTGGGCTCAAAGTTTCGATCACCATCGTGAAAACGTATCGCAGCATCACAGATAATGGCTTGCTTCCACGGAATGTTGAGATGGAAGTCATGGCCAAAGACCTACGACAGCGCTGCAATCGTCTACAAGCTGATACTAGCATCAAAGCGGACGCCGGCATGACACGCCTTATCGAGCGATGTATCAAAACATCAACAGAACTTGTGAGCGAGACGGAGAGTCTTGCGGTCAACGTCAAAAGCAGATACCCAAGATGGGTGAAAATTAAGGTCTCACTCAGAGCCTATCACAAGAACGGAAGGATCACCAAGATTCATGAAAGTTTGAAGGAGATCAAGACTGAAATCTTCCAGACACTTCTAGTTCTTCTCTAGTCAGTTCATTCTGTGGTTTTCCTGGAGGTGCACTATGCTGACTTTTTCATTAAGCGAGCACCGCAACACGTTACTAGACACAGTTCGTTCATATGGCGATGCTTCAACGGCCTGGAATCAGGGCACGGATGCCACGCTCGATCAAATGTCCAAAGACATTAGCAGACTTGCTGAGTCGACAAATAATGCTTCTTCGGCGAAAGATCTAGCGAATTTCGCCACGACACTGGCCAAGTTCGTAGAAGAAGCGAGCAATCAGGGAACTACTCGAGAAATCCTGAGGAGTCTCCGATTTGCACAAATAGCTGAGCGGCAAACCGAAATACCCAGCGCGCATCAAGAAACCTACGAATGGATTTTCAAGGAAAGCCCCGATGTCAATTTCTCGTCCTGGCTTCAAGGCTCACGAGGCATTTTCTGGATCACCGGAAAACCTGGATCTGGAAAATCCACATTGATGAAGTTCATTTCTGGGCACGAGAGTACTTTGCACCTGGCGAGAGGTTGGGCAAGCCCCAAGCAACTCATCGTGGCCAGTCACTTCTTTTGGGGGATTGCGCGCGGTCTTCAAAGCTCTCAAGAGGGTCTTCTGAGAACATTGCTATTCCAGATTGTGATGCAATGTCCACAGCTAATTTCCGCAGTCTTCCCGGAAAGATGCGCTGGTCACTTCAAATATCTCGATCCATGGACTATTGAAAGCTTACTCCGCGCATTTAAGCATCTCACCAGCCTCCCATTACTGCCGAAACGGATATTGATACTAGTCGATGGTCTCGATGAGTATAAAGGCGACCACTGGGACTTGGTCGAGTTTTTGAAGGATATAGACCGTTCTCCTGACATTAAAATCTGCTGTGCAAGCCGACCATGGCCTGAATTCAGGAGATCTTTCGGTGACAGCCCTACTTGGATCCAGATGGACCGACTCACGGCCGATGATATGGTATCTTACGTACGCGACACACTTGGTCAACATCCACGCTATCAAACTCTTCTGGAAACCCATGAGAGTGATGCCAAGCAACTCGTGGAATCCATCTCACAGAAATCGGAGGGTGTTTTCTTTTGGGTATCGCTTGTCGTCAAGTCTCTCATTCGTGGACTACACAAATCGGACGACATACGCACATTGCAGAACAGACTGTTGCAATTCCCGTCTGATCTCGACGAATTCTTTCAGAGGATGTTGGACTCCGTTGATGAAGTTCACGAAGCAACGGTATCCAGAACCATATCCATGCTACTGATTGCAGACATGCCGGTTCCCCTAGTTTGTTTCTTGGCCATGGATACTTATGTCGAGAAAATGAACGAATTTGCGACTGCAATGTCCCAGAGATCACCGAGAAGAAGTATAATGCCTGCAGGAAACCAACTCAGGAGCATGACGACTGCGCCAAAAGCAAGGCAGCAAGATGTTGAAGAGATGACTTACTCTCATACCACCAGGCACGCAATCGACCTCGAAAGTGTTAGCGCGGGCTCCAGTCTTCCCTACAACATTCAAAAAAACCTCAATGAGAGAGTTCCAGAAAAGCGGGAACAGATATTGGGGCAGTGCTGCGACTTGATTCAGACATGGGATGCTGAAGGACCAGCCCCATTCAATTCAAGAGTAGGATTTGTTCACCGGACGGTAGTAGACTTCCTGCAGCGTTTAGAAGAATGGCGCTCGTCACTTCATTACCAATACTTCTGGTTGGCACTTTCTTATCTGGAGTTTGTTTCTCCAGATAGTGACGTGCCAACCGATGTTAAGCACGACTTTCTGTTGAGGTCCGTCCTTATAATCGAGAACGCAGAGCCCCAAGACAACGACCAAGTAGCTCCCGGCGACGGACTTGAGAAGCTATATTCTTTCATTACCCTTCGGGCCAAACTTATTGGAATAGAAAGGATCTGTAAACTGATATCTCAAGTCTGGGCTTGGAAGATGGCTGCCATTGACGGCTGGAGAGGTTCGTCAACCTTGCCCGGGAACCGGTGCGAGATGCTGCGAGACATTCTCGCAGGATCCGCACATATAGAATTTGGCGACCCTCCAGAGGTAACTTGGACACCTTACGTGGATCTCGAACTCCTGCGGTGTTTTTTGGCTTACTTGAAGAGGGAGGGAATATTGGATGATGTTTCCCATGTGTTCCACAGCTTCCTCGAGGATCGCCGGACTGCATCTGCAAGAAATTGGCCGATGAACGGCATAAAAGCCTGTAAGGTAATGCATTCATTTGGCATGATACCAAAAAATACTGGAAACGGCACGGCAAATTCAGTCGCAACAAAGTCATGGCGTGCATATTTTACTGGCCAGGAGCTTGATGACATGGAAGTTTGGGATTCTCGGACATGAGGCAGATGGAAGACTGGGCTTTGTCTCTATTCCATTGACCGGGTGGATTAGCTGGATTTTGTTCACAGGGAAGAAATGCAATGGATTTCACGTTAAATACCTTCACTGGCGACTCAGAGAGCACATATCGTAAGAACACATCGTAGGCCTAGACTACAGGCATTCAAACAGGCACAACTCCCTTTACCGCAATGAAGGGGACCCTGAGACTCATGAGTATTGCTCTGCGCTACGTCTAGTGCTCGAATTCTACTCTGCACACTAATCACCTCAGTTGATAGCCTTCAACACGTACTTGTCCTGCCAGAAACGGTCGTTGGTGACCGATTCAGCACGGCGGACAGGAGCAGCCCTCTCTTTGAGGCTCGAAGCAGCCAAGTACTCGCTGCGCTTGACAGCGGCCTTAGCGGATACATCGCGCTTAGCAATACCTCCGTAAGCACACTTTCCACCGTTGAACGCAGCGTTTGCAGTAGCCTTCCAGATCTCGGTGACGTCCGTGACCATGGGCAGAGTCCAGTAAAGACGGCAGTCAGCCTCCTCGCGGATGTACTGCGCAGGGATACCATCGTCCACGTTGTCCCTCAGAATCTGGTCGCGGACGTTAACGGCAGCAGCGAGACTGCGGTTCAAGGGCAGGTCGGTGTAGCGAGCAAAAGCGGCCTTTTGCTCGTCGGTGGAGGCGTAGGGAAGGAGGAACTCGGTGTAGCCGTAGATGTTGCTCCAGTCGAGGACCTGAGAGCCCTTGATGCCGCCGACACCCTCAATGGGCCCCTCAACCGGGAGACCGCCGAAAGCGACGGACTTGACGCCGCCGTGGAGGCGGAGGAACTCGGAGGCCAGAGTGCAGGTAGAAGCGCAGACACCGTCGTAGAGGATGATAATGTTCTCAGCGGCGAAGGGCTGGGGAAGGCCGGTGAGGTTGCCGTACCCGTGTATCTCGATACCAAGACCGAAGGTGGCGTTGGTGGTAGTCAGCGGATCGTTGAGGTTCCAGCGCATGAGGTCCGTGTAAGAGGTGTTCTGGAAGACCTGGGGCGCGAACTTGTCCTCGTAGGAGGTGAAGGGCTGGTTGGTGAGGTTGTAGTCGTAGCGCCAGTTGAACCAGCTCTCAGCCAGGGAAATCAGGTTCTCATCATCGCTGGTGTAGATGTCCACATCAGCCACAATGTCGGAGACAATCTGGGCCGCAGCAACGAAGCCGTCGCTCTCCTTCCAGCGGGAGAAGCCATCTTGGTCTGTCTCGGGGAACAGCTGGCGGAAGAAATCATAGCCCTGGAGGATGTAGCCGCCGCCGTTCTGCTGGAAGTCGATGACAAGCTTGGTCTTGCCGGCGGAGAGGGCGGCGGTGTAGAAATCCTGGGCAACCTTTTGGAACTCGGCAGGGCTCTCGTTCTCGAAGGCGGTCAGGACAATGACGGCAACGTCCTCGAAACCTTCGCCCTCGAGGTAGTAGCCGGACACAACGCCGTCGCTGGTGGTGACGACGGGTTCAGGGTAGCCTGGAAGGATAGGGGTGGAGGCATTGGAAGGGGAGGTGCCGGACGGGGTGCCGGAGGCCGGGCTGAGAGGGTTGCAGAACTTAGCGTAGAAGGAGGGGCCGTCTACAATGCCGGTGAGATCCTTCTTAACCCGTGCATGGTTCTCGAAGGTGACCTCGGTGCCGTTCTCAAAAGTGAGAGTCGTGTTGGCGCCTTGGTAGATGTATCTATTAATCATGTTAGTACGTTCCACTAACTCATTATTGACTCATCCAACATACCTGACACGACCGCCAGAGCTGAAGTAGCCGTTGCCAATTCCGGTGGCTTGTCCAGACTTCTCAAAGAACATGGAGTTGTAGGCGGAGTTAGCATCACGGTTCCAGTTGGCCTTGTTGACGGTGTCCTCGAGAAACTTGGAAGCCTCGATGCCGTTGATGAGCTTGACTGCGGACGCAGTCTCGGGCGTAGAGATGACCTCCTCTGGAGAAGAGTTAGAATAACCTTCATAGATTCACTATCGTCGAGTCAGAACGTACCGTAGATCTTGATCACTGGCAGAGATGAGCCATCCTCGCTAATGGAGACCAAGCCCCGCTGACGGGTCCACTCAAACACCGCCGTGAGCAAGTCGGGGTAGTACACGAAGTGGCCGTCGTGACCGGGACCGAACACTTCCTCGTAGAGAGCAGACTGGAAGGCGTATTCGCTGGTGTAAACATCGTCGACCAGGTTCTGTCTGATGCTCGAGGCGGCTGCGAAGAGGTCGTAGGCCGGGAAGTCGTACTCTGGTGGGGGATCTGCCTTGTAAGCAGCGTCTAGAGCCAGGTTAGTTCAGAGTTCAAAGATTTCAACAAAATCATTCGGATGTGGACTTACCACTCTGCCACTCGAGGTATGGGAACAGAGAGTCCACAAGCTCAATGGCTGCCTCCTTTCCGAGAGGGACGGAGTTGAGGCAGTCGTAGGCCAACTGAGCCGGTACAGTCGGGACAACTACAGCATCACCGTTGTCAGTCTACGTCAATGGGGCATCTCATTATCGGGTTTCCAAGTACCTGTCGGAGCACGCGCGTGCTGCGAAGCCCAAGCAGCGCTCACGGCAGCACAAGGCTCAGAGCTGTTGCCGGGGATCGTCGAGTTGGGGAATTGCGCGACAGCGAGATCAGCTGCGCTGGCCAGCAAAGCCGGCACGGCAATCGAGGAGCTGCGCATCTTGCCTATTCAACGAGAGTAACACGACACAACTTTTGGCTATCGAGTCGAAAGCTGGGCTGCAATCTCAAGCTCGACAGACGCATCCCCGACCGCCCGCAGACTGCGGCGGCGCGTCTCTTATACCACTCTGGTCTGGCAGTCGAGGAAGACCCCCATTGTAGTCGTCATCCACTTCTCAACGACAATCGACCCGAGGGGCAACCCATTGTCGTTTTCTGGAGACTGTCGATGTCACCATCGGATGTCGAGTGGGCGTTCATCCCAATCGCATGAGCTTGTATTGCTCTCATCACAGGAGGAGCTAGCTCAAGATGGCAGGTCGCATGTACGAGGTTACCACAAGACTGGGGCGCGACCCCAGTTGCCGCAACTCTTGGCCTGCATATCTGCACCCGAGCGGCGGTAGGTCGGGCGGGGAGCAGTGCCTCACTCGTTTTCCTACCGATATTGGACGCGACCGAAGTTGGAAAGTCGTTGACTAAAGATGAATTTCGAAGTCCGTTACTCCGGGTCTGAGTCGAGTCTAAGAAGCTGTAGGGCCTCTTAGAGACTCGACTTACGAGCTCGAGTCAGTCTTAGTCAACCACCTGACTAAGACTCGAGGAGTCTGACAATTCCTCGCCCAAAGGTCAAATAAGGTAGAGGGGTTTTCGCGCGACGGATGGGGGGTTACGAGCTGCGAGACGGGAAGCTACCTTGTTATTAGCACGAAAAGACAAAGATCGGCAGCGCTCGCCTTATCTATCAAATTAGGGGTGATATCCTACCGTTACCGTTGGCCCGTTGGTCTGTAGACCGTTGGGACCTTTGGTCAGCATAAGAACCTTTTTTTCGCTCTAGTTCCGGGTTGCGGGGGCACATGGGAATAACACCTGCTGAAGATAGGTTAGACCGGTAGGCAAAGGTCCCTGGTCCCGCGGCAAACAAGTGCCGTGTCAGTGTCGCAATTCACACCATTGGCAACGGTCAAGGGTGATCTCATCGTCTCATCTGTGCCTGGCGATGCTCTCGGCCCGGCCAGGCGATAATGGGGAGCATATCTGGGCATTCCCCACCCTGTTCTTGTTCATTCAATTACAACACTTATGGTATTCGCCAGCATCAAATATGATAGGGCAAGATGCGTTTGAATGACCTGCTCCCATTTTACACATCTTTCTAATCGCTTAACAAATAGTAGGTTTTGAGCAGCATTATTCAAATGAACTTCTTTGCACTCTCTACCTTGGTTGACATTCAGACTTGCCTGCTTCATCATTAGTAAAAGAAACGAGTGTCTCCATGCTGGACGGGTCGAATAAAGAAAAGCACCAGGCAAGTCAAAGTTTCTTGCGGAACCACGCAACTCATAATTTTCAATCTTTCTACCTATGGGCAGCTTTTGACCTCGCAACTGTAGGAATCCCTCGATGCAGGACAAGCATGGTGCATCTTGCTAATCCAATATGGTAGAAGAAAGAATTATGAACCGGGAGCTCTGTCGTATGTTTCTTTGACATTGAAGTTGGATTTACGTGGGTCACGTGGGCAATTTGAGTATTCGACCGACGGGATACGAAGGTTTGCAGGGAAGGAAGGAACCCAAAGAAAGTTCGAGGTCGATCATAGTTGCCAAAAAAGGCCCCCAAACTCTATTATCATAGTCATTCTGTATCGATGCATGGTGGTATATTAAGCGGCTCGCTTTTTCCTGGTATAATTCCATAAACTCCCTAAGCCATCATGGTGTCCAGTCGTAGTATCATGAGCAGTGACGCGACGGCCAACTGCAGGTGTGTTTCGGCGTGAACGTCGCTTACTGAGAAGGGTCAGACTTGGGAACGCTAGGCAACTCAGCCGCGATAGCTTTCGCCTCTTCTGTTTCCTTCTTGGAAGGGCTGGCCTCGGTCTTCTCCTTGGTGGCTGGCTGGTCGTCGGGAGGGAAGAAGAAACTATTGAACGAATGTTAGCAAGACAAGTTACTGTGCAAAGGAGTTATGAGGTCTGAACATACGGAAGGGTCTCGTTGTAGGCTCTGACGTCCTTCATCTCAAAGGTGCAAAAGACAATCTTGTCCAACTTATCGCCATCCTCTCCGTCAAGGAACTCTCTGACAACCTCGACAGCAACGGGAGCCGCCTCCGTGCTCGGGTAGCCGTAAACGCCGGTGCTCAGCGCGCTGAAAGCGATGCTGCGACAGCCATTCTGAACAGCAAGCTTCAAGCTGGTGCTGTAGCAACCCGCAAGCTTCGCTTCGGAGTCGTCGGGATTGAGCTCGTCGTAGATGGGGCCGACGGCGTGGATAATCTTCTTGCTGGGGAGGTTGTAGGCGCCCGTGATCTTGGCGGAACCGGTGGCGCATCCGTTCAGGGTCCTGCACTCCTGGAGCAGTCCCCGGCCGGCTGCGCGGTGGATCGCGCCGTCGACGCCGCCTCCTCCGAGAAGACTCTTATTCGCGGCATTGACAATCGCATCGACGGCGAGGGTGGTGATGTCGCCTCGAACAACGGCGACTTTTTGGTTATGCGACGCATTGTGGGGGAAGATGGCCTTCGGGTTGGCATGGATCTGGCCGATCTTGTAGAGGAGCTCAACGGTGGGGATGTCGGCGACGGCGGTGGTGACCATTTTGACTGCTTGTCGGATTGGCATAGGCGAGCTTTAAGGTTGCTTATTCGGGTTTGGTGTCGATGATTTGGCAGCGGGCGCGGCGGGCTGCTTTTGAGGTGTTGGTGACAAAGAAGCAGCCGACTGGAAGCAGGAGAGGTGGGAGCCCATGACGAAAGACCCCGCGCTATCCCGAGCTCAATGGGAGCTTGGTCTTTCAGGTTGGTCCAATTGTCGAGCTTTTGGCAGCTTATCGCACTGTTATCGCAGGGGCAGTAAGGTACCTTAGGTAAGGTACGTGCCCTTCGCCCCTGTAGGTACCTTAGGTAGGTATCTGTGAGGAATTGCTTCCCTAGAATGCCGGGAAGTCGAGAGTGTGAAATGATGAATTCTACTATTCATGATTCAATAGAAATGACTCTTTACCTCGAAGGCGAAAGAGTTTATAGCTTGCCATCAAGGCATTTTGGAAGCTTCCATTCTTGAAAACGCAGCAAACTCGAGTCCTTCGAGGTGCCTTATCGGAAGCCAATCTGACCGATAAGATACGGTTGTTTGTTATCTTATCAATTCTTTGTCGCGTGTCGCAGGCGCAAGCTGAGCGAGGGACGCTGTGCCAGTGCAATGACCCCTCCTTGGCTCCATTTGAGTCATCCCCGCCGCAAAAGAAGACCTCGAGTGTTGCCCCGCCACCACAACCACACATTTTCCACGCCGTGAACATCTCGTGGAACCCAATTGAACGAACATCGACCATTGAGCGACCGCAAGGTACTCCTGAATCTCGACAAAGCTTACCTCCCATACCACCCTTTATCGCCTACCGGACACCGCTACCATGGCGGACGCTGCTGCGGACCCCACCGCCAAGTTGGCCGAGTCGACGGCCAAGCTCCAGCTCGACGAGGAGACGGGAGAGATGGTCAGCAAGGGCGAGCTGAAGAAGAGACTGGCAAAGCGAGCGAAGAAGGCCGCCACGGAAAAGGCAAAGGCTGCCAAGGACGCTGTCGCAAAGGCTGCCGGTGCTGGCGACAGCAAGCCCGCCGCGAAGCCCAAAGCTAAGCCTGAGGAGGTCGTCCTCGACCCGGAGGCCATGTTCAAGCAGGGCTTCCTCCAGGAGGTCTACAAGGAGAGGCCGTCGGAGAATGTCGTGACGCGTTTCCCTCCCGAGCCCAATGGCTAGTACGTGAGCCCCAATGCTTATCTTTGTCACGCCATTGACGTCTTCCCCCTAGCTTGCACATTGGCCATGCCAAGGCCATCGCTGTCAACTTCGGTTTCGCCAAGCATCACGGAGGTGTCTGCTACCTGAGATTCGACGACACGAACCCCGAGAAGGAGGAGGAGAGATATTTCACGGCCATTGAGGAGATGATCAGCTGGCTGGGTTTCACACCGTACAAGATCACGTACTCGAGTGACAACTTCCAGAAGCTGTACGATTTGGCAGAGAAGATGATTACGTTGGAGAAGGCATACGTATGCTACTGCGGTGGTGAGGTTATCTTCTGCATCAGATACAACGTGCTCTGCACTTGCTAATCAGTCAACCTCAGATACCGAGATCAAGCTCCAGCGTGGCGGTGAGAAAGGCGCTTCCCCTAGGTTCCGATGCGAGCACGCGAACCACACCGTCGAAGAGAACCTGCAGAAATTCAGAGATATGAAGGACGGCAAATACAAGCCTAGGGAAGCATTCTTGCGCATGAAGCAGGATATCACCGACGGCAACCCCCAGATGTGGGATCTCGCCGCATACCGCATCAAGACCGACACGCCGCACCACCGCACCGGATGGGACTGGAAGATCTACCCGACATACGATTTCACGCACTGCCTGTGTGATAGCTTCGAGGGCATCACTCACTCACTCTGCACGACAGAGTTCGTCCAGAGCCGTGTCTCGTACGAATGGCTCAACAAGACCCTCGGCGTTTACGAGCCGATGCAGCGCGAGTACGGTCGTCTAGGTATCACGGGTACTGTCTTGTCAAAGAGAAAGATTCTCAAGCTGGTTGAGGAGAAGATTGTGCGTGGCTGGGACGATCCACGTCTGTACACTCTGATCGGCATCAAGCGCCGTGGTGTGCCCCCTCGCGCGATTCTCGACTTCGTCAATGAGCTGGGAGTCACGACGTCTGTCTCTGTCATTCAGATCAAGCGTTTCGAGCAGACGGTGCGCAAGTACCTAGAACGAACTGTTCCCAGATTGATGATGGTCTTGGATCCCATCCCGGTTGTCATCGAAGATGCCGAGGCTACTGACGTAGAGCTCGCCTTCTCTCCCAAGGACCCCAACATGGGTTCGCACACGATCAAGTTCACCCCGACCGTCTATATCGATCGCGCCGATTTCAGAGAGATCGACAGCAAGGATTACTTCCGTCTTGCACCCAACAAGACCGTCGGTCTGCTCAACGCCCCCTTCCCCATCAAGGCTACTTCCTACACCAAGGATGAGGCGACAGGAAAGGTCACCGAGATCCGCGCCGTCTACGACAAGGAGACGAAGAAGCCCAAGGCCTTCATCAACTGGGTCGGTACCGAGGGTTCCAAGAAGGCCGAGGCCCGTATTCACAACTCCTTGTTCAAGAGCGAGAAGCCCGACGACGCCGAGGGCGGTTTCCTCAACGACATCAACCCCGAGAGCGAGGTCATCTACCCCGACGCGCTCATCGAGAGCGGTTTTGACGAAGTCAAGAGACGTGCACCTTGGCCTGAGGCTGCGGGTGAGAGCGAGCTCGGCAAGGGCGGACCTGAGAGTGTTCGTTTCCAGGCGACGCGCATTGCCTACTTTGTAAGCTGCTCACGAGTGAAGACTGCAATTTTGACAGACGAACTAACACCCTCACTAGGCCATTGATTCTGACAGTACCGATGAGAAGATTATTCTCAACCGTATTGTGTCGCTGAAGGAGGATGCTGGAAAGGTTTAAGTTACAGCTATCTCCGGATTTGGACGTAAAGGTGGATGGATGGATTTGGGGAGCTTTCGGAGTTGCATAGATGGCGGGCTTGATAATACCAAACAAAATCCCACAACAAGCAATGTGGTGAATCAGAATCGTTTTGTCACAAAGATTATCGACGGAGCTCTCCTTCAAGTGATTCACTGCACTTCACGATACGGGTCCTTATATCAACATAACACCTTGGATCGTCGTTGCACTCACCACACAAACCCCCACTACCAAATCATCAGGTTCTCCACGACGGAGTTGCGAATAATACCTTCGAAAGAATGAAGTTCAGTCAGTCTTCTCGGATACTCGGTGTAGCGTTGGCCGTTAGCTCCATATGCCTCGCTATGCCTCAAGAGATATCGCAGGGCAACCAGCCATCAGCACCGCGAGTTGGAGAGGTACCGTACGAGCAATCACCTTACGAAGAGACACCCTACAACGAGACGCCACACGAAGACTCGGGGGAAGAACCGTCACCGTACGAGCAGCCAGACGAAAAACCTTCATACGGAAAGCCTTCATATGAACAGCCACACCGGGAAAAGCCATCATATGGCCACACTCCGTACGGGCGAGACCCAGCCATCTCCATCATAGAATGGGAAGTCGGCAGCCCGGCCCTCTACGCAGCGCGCTCCGTCGACGACCCAGACACATGTCCCAAAGGAACAGGTGTGTATCTCCTTCCGTCCTCCATACCTTACCCCCATCACATCCATTCCACATCACCCTCTCCTTTGCCTTTCAGAATCATCACGCTGACGCGTCTCATAGTATCCTGCAACCTCCCCCGCAACTGGAACTGCTGCACAAGATCCATGCCCTGCTGCGGGCCCGGCTGCTGCGCCCGAGGCTTCGACTGCGTCGACGCCGCCATCGGGGTCTGCTGCTCGCGGGGCAAGAAGCTCTGCGGCGGGATGTGTGTGAGTGGGGAGTGCTGCGGTGTGCAGGGCGGGTGTAGTCGGGATGAGAAGTGTTGGATGGGGAAGTGTTATCCGAAGGAGAGGGGTCCTCCGGTTTCCTCGGGGGCCGGTGGAGTCGTGCCGCCGGTGACGGGGGGTGCGGGGCCGGTGAGGGTTGGGAAGAAGAGTGGGGAGGGGGCGGAACGGGGGAGGAGGGACTCGATGCTTGGGTTCGTTGTGCTTGTTGCGGTGTGGGTTGTTGATGAGGTTTGGGGGGGTTCGCTTTGGGGGTAGGGGGTTTGGGTGGTAGGTCGACCGACCGTTGATGGTAGGAAGGGCGGAGGGAAAGGTGTTCACGGAGTTATTGGAGCTTGGAGTCAAGGTCTGATTGGTAGCCGGGCTTTATGGTGTGTTGATGACCTACTATCTGCCAAAACCCCTACTTAGATATTGGTCAGGAACCAGTCCTCGACGAGGGTACTAAATCCTCAGGGGCTTCGGTTTGCTAGTGTCCCGGCTATCAAGAATACACGTAGCTCCGCCTCATCCATCGGTGCTTGATTCTCATCACTGCAACTGGGAGAGCTTGAGCATGTGAGAGTATGTGGAATAATGATAGTCAATACTGGGCCGGTGATGTAGATGCCACACGGATGTTGGTGTATCAAAGCTCTCGTCCCATCATCGCCCTAGACTGAATGCGTAGACAGATAGAGGGGCCAGCTATTTAATAAGGACTGCCGTCTAATGCAACATGTGACATTCAGGGTCTCTTCACAAGTGTACAGTCAGCCCGACTTACGGATAGTCAGCTATCGTCAGCTTCAGGACCCCTGACGACTCAAGGGCAACCCCGTTTCAGGGTGTCCCTTGTTACACCGGTTGCCGGATTCGGCTGACCGAAACCTGTTCCTCACTTAAAGACAGTTTGTCTTGTGGGTGGAGCGTTGCACCGGCGGGAAATCGTCCCGAGGCAAAGAATTTGTTGGTTATCATAATCATGACGGCATTGCTGGATAGTTGGCTCCCCAAAGCCGTGGTACTCGCTGCGTTGGATTGATGACAGACAATCAATGTGATGCCTCCAGCGCAGACAAATTCGGATCGGCGTTGGCGATTGTAATAAAGTTTTTCTCGAAATATCGAGAAAAGTTTAATGGACGATATAGGATAATCGGCTGCATATTATATCCGTCAGAAAGATTGCGTCGGAGTACGGAACAAGCTGCAGGCCGACGAGTGAAGAAAGCGGTCGTAGTGAAGTATCTCAATGGTTGAGTGGTCATAATACCCTCACAGTGAAGGACAAACGCGCTTGAGAAGGTGTTGTCTGCAGTTCATGAGCGATAGACTTTGCACATAGAGAGGTGCTCATCACACCGGTAATTATTTTGGACGACAAGGCTTGTTCGGTGAGTTCAAGGTCAGTTGGTGAGTGTGAAGAACACAGGCGGAGAGCTTGTCCGTGGAAATTGGTGCTGTGTGGCTGAAGATAGCACGTAATCAGCGTCAGGGAACCTTTGGACGGAAGGTGCCAATTGTGAGGGCCGATTCGCCCGATGGCAGGTTGGGAAGACCGGGCCCAAAAGGTTGGGTCTTGGCGTTCTTTCCGGCGTCACCGGCGAAGCGTGAGAAGTGGCCGGCCGGATAACCTTAATCGGGGGCCGGGTCTGCAGACGGGCCCGTGCCTCGAGGGAAATGGGAGTGAGGCGGGCGCATCTGATTCGTGGCCCGCCTGATAGGGCACAAGAGTGGATCGCCAGCCCCTGTCCACATGTGGTTAATAGCCAATCAGAATGTAACTTCTCAGAAGACGGATTGGAGAGGTGGATTGGTGGGATTCGGCCTGGCCCTTGGCCCTTGCATGGAAGGAGGGATGAATGAGTGACGCCAGGGAACCCCCTTGAAGGAAGAGGAAAAGTGTCCAGAGAGAAGAAGACAATGTGTGCGGTGTTCTTCTTCCTTCCCCCCTTCTCAATCTTGACTTGCTGCGGTCTGTTGCCCTTTGCTCGGAATATTGGAACTGTCATCTGAGAACATGCGGCGAACTGGGAGGTTTTGGGCAACTATATTTCAGTCAACATTGAACGCCCTGTATAAGGTATTTCAGTCAATCGAGTCATGAACTCAAGTGAAGGGGTAATGCTTCATTTGGTTGAGATGATCCTCTCTTTTTGAGTTGAGTGAGATTATCCACCCACCGGCCGAAAAGAACTTTCGTGTAACACAGGGAGAGTAGGAAGGAAAAAAAAAGCGAGAAAAGAAAAAAATTGCTGGACCCTGCTTGCTGTGCCGCAAATCCCAAGGTCACTTTTTCCCACGATGTGCTGGTGCACGATGGACACTGGCGGCTCGCGTGCGGCGCAACTGGCGGGGGGAAACGCCCGGCTAAGCGGGCAGAGGTATGCGAGTGCTCCAAATGGGTTCTAGTCCGAGGCCAGCCTGGCAACGACGAGTTGGAAATGCGCATCAAATTGGGTCTTTTCTTGCTTTGGAGACTCGAAGGAGCTTTCGTATAATGATGTCCCGTTGGACGACGCATTGTGACATTGTGTGGAGTGTCTAGGTCAACTTTGCAGTTGGTTTGTCAATTCGTGTTGGTGCTTACTGGCGCAATTTTAATCGCGGAACATGGCTGAACAGGACATTCAAAAAAGAGACACCAGCAGGCAGCCATTTGAGACTTTTCTGTCTGTCTCTTTTCGGCTGTTTGTAGCACCGAATTTCTGTCCCTGCCATTTTTCTTTTCTTCTCCCCCTCCTTCTCGTCTTATGCGCGCCCAGCCTTTGTCGCCCGGTCTCGCTCTGGGGTACTTGGGAAAAGGTACGAAGTGCTCTTGCCTTCTCTACCTCTCTCTCCAGTCCCCCCACCATACCTGCGTGCCTGCCTCACGAGCGCTGCTCTTTCCCTTGCTTGTTTCTCCCCGAAGTACCTACCTCGTGTGCTCGCCTCCTTCCTCCTGTGTCGCCGCCAATCCTTCCCATCGTGGCCCCAATGCTGTGTGGTTCCTTCCTATTAGTTTAGCCTTGGCTCCTTCTCGCTTGCCGTGAATGCTTGGCTGACGGCCACCTTTAGCCGTGGCTTCTTCTTTGGGGTTCATCCAAACAAACCGTGACTGCGCTCCTATCCATCCCTCCTTCTCTGCAATGTTCGTGACTCCCACAAACTTGATCCTCATTTCAAACGCGACATCCATACATACTACACGCCTGTATCCGTAAACCTTCATACGGTAGCCTCTCGCTGTCTGTCTCTCCCGTTTGTCGCAGAGGGTGGATTGCGCGTTCTTTCATCGCAACTCGGCAACGTCAAGCATCTCATCGACTGCGATCACCCTCCATCAGACTGTTTCCACTTCGGTCCCATCTCCCTGGATTGCGCCCTTCCCAACGCGAAACTCTCCGGCACTCGACCACACTCCAGCGATACTCCCTCCATCGAAGCCATCCTCCCCCTCTGCCAGACTTCCAGTCATTCCGATTACTCCAGTCGTTCCCGTTGTCGCGCTCTTCGATTTTCACGAGGAAGCATCTGTACTTCGCAAAACGTCTTATCGAACTCCAACCACATCCTGGCCGCGCTCACCACCCCTCCACGCGTCCACTGTCACTTCGCTGCGCATTTCGCACCCTTCTCAACGGCGATAGTCCCGGCAGCGCCACACTTTAAGCTCAGAACGCTGCGACGCTCCCCTCCCCTCCGCAGAGGCCACTCACTAGTCCCGGCGTCATCAAGCAGCACTAGCACGCCCTCCAAGTCTCCATCCCGGGGCCCCTTTGGTTCCTCGAGGGAAAAAGTCCACGTCGTATCGCCCGCCGCGATATACCTACGGGGACCTGGAGATCCCAGTCGAAGCTGGAAGGTACGGGTAGTCAGCCTGCACACACCTGCTTACGCCTGCGGCTTGCTTGGCTCGCCCTTGCAACCTCGACGTTCCACTCAAACAGGCCTTCTGGCGACCCGCTCCCACTCCGGCCTAGGTATTGCTGGTCGCAGTCAATCTATCTGGCTGCGTGCCTGTCAGCTAGTCTCGTCGAACAGAGAGGGCTCCATTAATAGAAGTACATTTAGGTAGCTAGAATGCCACCTTCGTCGTCGTCGCCACCCCCAATCCTCGCCATTACGGCCACTTATCTACACCTGCTGGCCCAACACCTCCCCCGGCCCCTCTACGAAGTCCTTCAAAAGCTTCACAACCACATTGCGCGCTTCTTCGCCGGCGTCGCATCATCTGCTCTCGTCGTTCGCATACACTCGCTTATCCCTGCCAAGATGCATCGCCCGCTGGGCTTCTCGGCCTTTCTGGTCACGCTGTTCTTGATATTCGGACTACCCGTCATCCTCGCCCAGAGCGAGCCGTTCCACTGTTATCCATACCCGCCCGCGGACAAGCTCGCCAGTCCCTTCATCACCCTGCAGCCGCATTGCTGTAAGGGCTCAATCGACAACAAGCTGAGAGTAGGCACCGACTGCGAATTGGCCAACGGAGGAAAATACAAGACAAAGTTTGGACAGGATCTGGGAACTTGCGCGACAGGCTGGGTGGACGCGTGCTGCATGCGACTGGTATGCGCACACATCATACTGTTTTCGGATTTATCGCTAACGGCTGACCTAGCATTACCCGCCCGAAATTGCACGGCCAGAAATGTCCTATTGCGATGCAGGCTTTCTCGTCAAGGCCGAAGCCAAGAATATCATTGATGCCCGTAGCTGGAACCCGAAGAAATACGGAATTTGATGATGGGAGGCCAACGATTACATAAACATGGCCACGATACGGCGAGCTTTGCTCGATGACACTCAGCCACGGCAGGGTCAGGCGAATCGAGTGAAATATGGGACACCTCCACGGCCGATGATGCCCCAGGAAATGCGGCGTGGGGCGAGAGATCGAGCGAGACCCAGCGAAACCCCAGCGGCTCCAGCGAGTCAGGGAATCTCCACCGCCGCAACGATCCGAGTGGAGAGATTATCGACTAGGAGCGCAGGAGCACTCAGAGGCCGCCCTGCGCTGTTTGAGAGGGAGGAAACACACTACCACCTAACGAATGGCGAAACAAAGGCATTTTGGCGTTTTGCGGGCGACGACTGCATTATGATGGCACGATTGCGACGGTCGCCCTCGTTCGAAACAACTTAGGGCTTCCGCATTATATACCCAGGGTAACTGATTTTCGTTACCTACCATTTGCATCCTATCTTGTACAAAAGCAGTCAGGATTTTTAGACGAGGGGCCGGAAGAGGGGGCCGAGAAGAAACGAAACACAGATGATTGACTGCCGGAGGCCGTGTGTCACCATGGTCTGGTCAAGTTCACCTTACTTTTGTATACCTAGTGTGTGTATTATTAGGAGCGTCTCATGGTTGTCAGTCAATCCGATCTCCACCTTTTCGGAAAGGTTTCGCCCTCGTCAGTTCTCATCGGACCTGATCATCGCCCAGTCTGTCCAGTATCTAGGTGTTTTGCTGCCTATCCTTTCTGATGGAAATGGGGCACGATGGTCATGGCGCGAGAGAAGCTGAGCAGAGTTAAATATGTGACGACGAGTCAGCAATGCGGTGTCGTCTTGTTATCGTCCAACTACGGGGTGTCAAAGCCTTTGGGAAATGGCCTGACTGTCATAGTTGTTCACGCCCGACCGAACTATCAAGTGGCGGTGGTGTCGGGTTCGGTATGCACGTGTCACCCCGCGGGGTAGGTAGGCACTGGGACGGGTGGCGAGCGGTTCTACCGGCTGCGACGGTCAGCCCTGTGAGAAGAAAAAGGTTTGGACCAGTGCAGCAAACTGGCGAACTCCTGGAGGTGGTCTATGTTTTTTCTTTCTGGTGAGAGGGGGGGGGGGGGGGGCGGGCCGGCGGGGAGGGGGCAGGTGGCCCGCCGGCGCCGCGGGGGTTGGGGATGAGAAAAGCAAACGTGGCGACGAAGGAGGAGGGGGTGGAGCGGGGTTGGGGGTGTTTTTTTTTTTTGGGGGGGGGGGGGGGGGGGGGGGGGGGGGGATTCAAGACTTGGATTGAAGAGATCCCGCCGGGTAGATTACTCGGTACTCGGAACCCAGGCGAGGCATGGTAGCGAAGATGGCGAATTCTGCCCGTGGGATTCGCGGATCAACGAGGAAATCGATAACATGACTTGATATTCCGACTGGTTGGCTCGGGTGGCCAACAAATTGCAAGATCACGGGTGGGCAGGATAGCTCTCCAGATTACAATTCCTTTTCTGCGCGGTGGGCATTTGCAACAGTGCCAAAACTTGGGGAGAAGTTTGAGGGTCGCAGTGTATGCGATTCTTGTAGGAGCTATAAAGCGATACCGAAAACTCAGATTCCAATTGGATGAGCTATCGAGGTAGCTAGGGAGATTGTGATGGTAACCGTGGCATCCCCTCCCATACCATTAGAGGCGCTCAACACTCAGCACCGCGTAAGAAGACATTGTGCTTTCATGATGATTCTACAAGACCAGTGACCTGCGTACTTTGGTCAATGACCGTTCGGACGATTGTACTTTATTGAGAATGCGAGTACGACAAGGCTTATTTCGAGGTGCGTCGTTCTGCAGGATGATGTGCAGCTATGGAGCACTTTGAGCTGTGAAGCAATTGAGGCATGCACTCTGGGAAGCACGGTAAGGTAGGTAGCTAAGGTAAGCTTTGCTCGCAGGTTTGGCTGCAGGTCGCACGTACGTATTTCTTCAAGACACCGAGGAGACGGGGCATCGGATAAATCGGTACGTATCGTCCATCCCGATCCGACTTCATCTCCTCAATTACGCCGGAAGAGATGTTCCTGTTTCATCTTTTCTTTTCGGGACACCTCAGGGCACGACTCTCCTCCGTTGAGTTGAGCGCAAACTGCCACTGCTTTCAGTCAATACATCCGGACGGTATCGAGCCCCCTTTCGATGATGATTGTGGTTTCTCCTGTCGTTTCCAATTGGACGACTTCCTATGGAAAGGAAACTTTGGACAAACCATCAGCACCCCCTTGGTGACCCTGGGTGGTCTCTTTACGCTCGTCTGCGTGTCCCTGCTAGCTGCAGATCACTCTCCAGTCTCCACGTTCTTCTTCTGTTGGTTGAGTGGAGTGGAAGCAACACCCAGCTCGCAACATGGTCGGGTCTGTCCGTTTCGCCGCACGGCAACTGGGCAGCATACTCTAATGTAAAGCAGGCGGGAAGGACAGAAGAAGAGGAAGAAGAAGAAGAAGTCTAAGTGGACTCTTTTTCTTTAGTCTGGACACTCTAACACAATCGCCAGGAGTCGAGGGGACCATACAAGCACACGTCGAAACCAGGGTCTGTGACACTCTGTCACACAGCCGCCACACGCGGCAGTTTCACCGTGCCCAGTCAGGACCAATTACATTAACCTCCCGTTAGCCTTCAATGCCTCTCCCGACGACCTCTCATGCCCTCCATCCAATCGTCTTCAACTTCCTCAACCTCGCCCGTTCAGCCAGCCTCACATCCCCCACGGGCGCCCGACCAACCTGCTTCTGAAACTGGCCCGTTGCCTCTGCACGTTTGTCTCCCTAGGCCGTGCTTGAAGTCTCCTAGCAAAGTCGACAAGTCGTTGTCTGCCAAGCGGCAGTAACATATCCCTCCTAACCCCGTATTGGGATGAAAGCCACCATCAGAGAACTTGGAACGCCGAGGTGACAGAAGACAGCGACACAAGACAGCTCGGCACGATCTTTGATGGGCAGGCTGGCAGGACTGACTGGCGTACCACCCGAGCGGCGTCTTCCCCGCCCGCCGCTGCCCCTCCACCCCTCTTCTCTTCTTCCCTTCTAAGAAGCGTTCCTGATTACTTCTCTTATATCATGCGAGAACCTGTGATCGTCCGCGGGGTTGGAGCAAGGCTGTTCCCTTCCTTTCTTCTTCCGAGCCCTTAGATTGGGTCTCTATTTCCCCCCTTCCCTTGTTCTTAATATTCTTATTCGACTGTTACCGACTTGCCTCACCCTGGGCTGGTACCAGTCAATGAGAGGCTGACTTGAAAGAAAATCCCATCCGGATTCCCAAACATTATTCATGCAAAAGTGCGCCTATAGAGTAACACGGCGCCGGGCAACTCTTCCCTGCGGCTCATCCAAGGTTCTAGTTCGTCAGACAAGCTAGGTCGTTGCCACCACACACCCTCGCTCCGTACTGGCTTGCTGGCTTTGCTAGCTACCACTATCTTACTGCCCGCCTTCTCCGCTCTTTTCTACCGTTCTTCGCCTCAATTTACTCGCAACAAGCGCGCTCTTAATCCCAATTCTAATCCAGAAGATCGACAAACACCCCGACCATTGATCTTCGTTTCCTCCCGCTAAGGGGGCGACCCAACGAGAAACAAAACAAACAGAGCCGCTTGGGACATCAAACACCACAACGACACTCGGAAGACGATGAATTTCAGTTGACGCTAGACCCCGTCTCCCTTCCCTCAGCCCCCCCGACTGGACTTGTCCGTTGCTCGAGAAGACCATCTCGCCTGCCTTTGTCTCCTCTGATCAATGGCATCTGATGCGAGGGCCAGGGCAAACGTGCCCCGCAGAGTAGGCAAGCAGACTACGAATGGCATGGACTCCTATCATCGTTATGTAGCAGAATCAAATACGCCGCCGCCGCCGCTGCCGCAAGGGGACATCGTCGCCCGGCCGTACACCAGTCACTCCCGTTCCTTTAGCACGCCGCGTCCCTCAATAATAGAACCGTCTTCGTCAGGTAGCAGCAGCGATGCCGATAGACCGAGACCGCTACCGGTGCCCGAAATTACCATCAGTAGCCCAGGAAAACCGCCGAGGGCCAACCCTCGATACTCATTGACGCCTCGCCAGGCAACTTTTCCTCCGATAAATGCTCAAAGGCTAGCGGTGCCAGGAGTGAGGCCGCCTCCGCCCGCGCAACAAATACCACCGGCCCCACGAATACAACGAGTTCAACCACCACGTCCAATCGCCTCGACACCACCAACCACGGCCGATTCTGATGACCTACGAAAACGAAATGGGTTAGTCGACGTCGCTCTTCCGTACCGACCGTTTTATCTCCAAAGGAGGGTCCTCAGCTCGTTTGCGGTCCTCTTCGCCGGACTCATGGTAACCGTAGAAGCCGTGTTGGACCTATCAAACAAAAGAGGAGGACTCGGTTCGCCAGAGCATGGGTTCAGATATCTATGGCAGTACGGTTCGGCCTTCATCTTCACCTGTATCGCCGCATTATGGGCGAGACCCGAACACCAGGCAAAAGCCAGCGCGCCGTGGCTTCGGATGGCAAAGGGACCTGCGAGTGTGGACAGGACCCTGATGCTCGACTACGTCTTCATGTTCGAGCCATGGACCATTGCGAAAGCGACAAAGAATCGGGACTGGCTCGTTGCGGCCACGGCGTCTATCGGCCTGACGCTCAAAATCATCATCGTCATCGCTGTGGCGCTCGTCAGCCCAACGTTCCAGATTGTGACTGCTCGAGGTGTGAGTTTGAACCTACAGAACACGTTTGTGAACGATCCCACTGGGCTACGGAATGCTGGTGCCCTGCCTTTCTTCACGATGACAGCTCTCCAGACGAAAGGCCTCAACTTCCCAGACGGCACTTCCAAAGAATTCGCTTTCCAGTCATTTTCTGCGGACTTGCCCGCGACAGCTGAGCTAAGGACCAATGTCGACGGCTTCCAATCCGAAATCGAGTGTGAGCCGGCACAGTTCACCTTGAATGGTGTCCAGTTCATCCAAGCTTCGGACGTCCAGCTC